CCCTTAAACTGAGGGTGTTGCAATAGAACTGCCTGTGAGGATGGGTGTGTTCTCACCTGTGCCTCACAGGTGCCGCCAGCCATGTGTAGCCAGGTGTGTGCGTAGTGACACGGAGGAACTGTGCTGTGGCTGCTTCATTTTAATTCACTTCAGTGACACAGCATGTGGGGTGCCCTCTGTGTGGCAGCCCACATACCACAGCGCAGCCTACAGCCCCGTGGAAGCATTCTGTGTTGGAGTGCGCCACCTGCTCCAGGATGGCCCCCAGGCCTGGGGTGGTCAGACCTTCTCTGGACCTTCACACTCACCCCCAGGCCTCAGCTGGGGGTCACTTCTGAGAAACCTTCCAGCCGCCTCAGCCTACAGGGCTGGCCAGCCCTGGACCACTATTCTGTGAGGTAGATGTTTTGTGCCCACACCTGCCACCACTGGCTTGTTCTCTCATTCCTGCTGTGCCCCAAGCCAGTCTCCTGGGGCCACAGTGGGGGGGCAGACACCATGCTTTTGGCCATGCCCTGAGCAGCAGGAGAGCTGGGTCCTCACAGAGACTGCTGGGTCTGAGTCACATCTGTTCTCAGCACCCAGCACAAGGCCGGGTCCAGGGGCTCAGTGAGCGTCTATGGGATGGCTAAGTGACTATTTCTTCTGGGAGGTGGTCACAGCCAGTGTCTTGGGCATGCCTGGAAGTTCCTTTCCAAGAAGCAGTTTGAAATTTGCTGCAAAGGGCCTGTCCTCTCTGGTATGTCTGCCCAACTCCACCCTTCTTGCTAAACCACCCAGCAAGGGGTTAGCAGCTTCCTCCAAGAAACTTGCCTGTCTCCTAAACCAGTTTGGAAGACTTCAGACCTCAAGACCTCATCTTGCCAGGCCCTTGTTGGCAGATGGGTAAACTGAGTCTTGGTGGGGGTAGGAACTCTCTGGAGAGCAGGAGAGTGGCCACACTGGCCTGCTCTCTCTGGGGTGCACCAGTGCTCCCACGCTCCAGCCCCACATCCCCTGCACTCACCTACCACGTGCTCCTTCAATATGAAGACTTAATTACTATGCCAAAAGCACAAGCAAGAACAAAATAGATCAACTGGTGTCCTCAAAGCTAAAAGCTTGTGCTTCAAAGGACCCCACATATGTGATAAGGGCCTCGTATACAAAACACATAAAGAACTCTTACAACTTTTAACAAGAAGATAGCCCCCAATGGCCAAGGATCTGAATATTCCCCAAAGAACATACACAAATGGCCAACAAGGACACAAAAAGATGCTCAACCTCATGAGTCGTTAAGGAAAAGCAAGTCAAACCGCAAGGAGACACACCTAATGCCCACTAGGGTGGCCGTTATCCACAGGAGGGACCACGTGCTGGGGAGGCCATGCAGCTGCCGACACCCTCACCCCCTACTGGTGGGATTATAAAGTGGGGCAGGCGCTGTGGAAAACAGTATGGCAGTTCCTCGAACAGTTAAGTTTAGCTGTTACGTGATCCAGTGATTCCACTCCTAGAGAAATGAAAATCCCAGAGAAACAAAAACATACGTCCACACAGAAACTCATATGTGAACGCTCACAGCAGCATTATTACAACAGCCAAAAGGGGGAAATAAGCCAAGTGCCCTTCAACTGAAAAAGTACAAATAAAACATGAACCATTAACATGAGGGAATGTTCAGCCGTAAAGGGAGGAAGCCCTGACAACATGCCACAACGTGGATGAACCCCAAGGACGTTCTGCTCAGTGGAAGAAGGATGCGCTGCATGACTATTTCTATGAAATTCCAGAATAGATAAGTCCATAGAGACAGTGCTAGAGGGAGGGCGAGGGGGGACTGGTGACATCATAGGGGACTCCTTCTGGAGTCATGAAAAGGTCCTATAATTCACTGTGGTCATGGATGCACAATTCTGTGAATATACCAAAAGCTTTTGAATTGTAGACTGTATATGTGAATTATACCTTCATAAGCTTGTTTAAAAAATCTTTCTTCCTCTAACCCCAAAGAATACCCAGGAATTTTTGTGTGCTAGTTATGTTTTCAACACCTATTAGAATATAGTTAAGCTTTAAATGGTCATCCGCATTCCACATCAATTCTGCTTTGGGAGACCCCAACCTCTTCTAGACCCTCTCAACTCTTACATCCTTCACTATTTGGGAGGAAAAATACTACCCTAATTCATAATATTCTACTGACAATTTACGGAGCTATTATGAGCTAAAAGAAGAACATTTTTATTAAAGAGATCTATTGATCATGGATTTCAATTTAAAAATGCTATGGTCATAAACCACAGCTGTTTTCTTATTTAGACCACAGAAGCACGTACGCAGGCACCTCACATCCTGGGCCAACAGGGAGTGAGGCTGCTGGCAACAGGACCACAGTTAGTGCCAGGCCCAGGCTTGGTCAGGGGAGGAGGGCCCTGGTGCCCAGAATCGCCTGGACCTCACCCAGCGGATGCAGCAAGAGGACAGGCTGCAGGGATGACACCAGCAATGTGTAAGCGCTCACCTGTGCCCACCCTGCCCACCTGGGGTCCTCTGCCAGGAGCACGCTGAGGGCAGGGAGGAGCCTTGACTGACCTCAGGATGCCCACAGCCTTGCTCTGGCTGGCAATCTAGCTGGCAGGCTGTGAGCATGTCCTTTTCTTTTCTGGGACTCAGTTTCCCCAAGTGCTTTGAGAGGCTCAACTCTGTTTCCATGGCTTCAACCTCAGCTCAGCCTTCCTACTCAGCACACTGGTCACATTGGCCTTTGCCAAGCTCTGGTGTAAGCCCCACCCCAGACTGTTCACTGGTGGCCTCAGCCTTCAGATGCTGGAGAGGCAGTGACTTCCTTCCTGATCCAATGGCTGGGAGCTGAGAGACCAGCGGAGAAGGCGGCAAATGTGAGCTATGTGAGCTTCCACGGGGGCTCTGGGTCCTGGCTGCTGCAGGCTGCCATGAGCCGCCATGAACCACCAGGCCACAGGCAGGTCGCCTCTGGCCTCAGTATCTCTGCAAGGGTGAAGATGCCCACTGTGGGCAGGAGATGTGGCGGAGGGCAGGCACCTGGCCTTGCGGGCTCTCACGGTTTAGATTCAGCAGTGAGCTGTCTACCTCTCTAAGCTCCAGTTTCCCAACTTTATGGGGCTATGGGGCATAATAATAATACCTCCTCTAACTCACAGAGGTGTTCCGAGTACTAAACGATGGCGGCCCACAAGCCCTTGCACGGAGCCTGCCCAAGGAGCACCGGCTCTCACGGTGCCGGCAAATAGCAGCTCGGGAAATGTCACCATGGTGGTGGCTGTCACCACCACCACCCACTGGATGTTCTGACTTCCGAGATCCACATGGGGAACCTGTGAGGGAACAGGGACCATAACCACCCACTCTCTGTGGCAGGGCCAGCTTGAGTCTGTGTGACTTGATTTTCCAGTTTCTGTAGAAGGCCCCTGGTCTGTATGGCAAAGGGACATGGAGGGACAAGGGTCACAATTTCTGGCCGAAGGGAGCCCTCCTGAGGGGCTCCGAATGCATCTGGGAAGTGGGCTCAAGGCCTGAGCCCCTGAAGCACAGCCGAGCGCCACGAAGACACCAAGTTCCGGCGACTGCCAGTGGGAGGGCCCCTGCCCATCTGTCACCTGGCAGCCACCACACAGCATCTGTGCACAGACCCCGCGGCCCCCTCTCCTCCCCTCAGCAGCTCCACACTGCACTGTCGTGACATCGAAGGGCCTGGGATAGCCCCCTACTCAAGCTTCAACAAGAAGGGCTGCAACTCTCAGAACTGTTCACTCCATAGTGGGGCTGGGGGCACAGAGCAGTCAAGGTGCTGGGGAGTTCTAGGAGGAGCCCACTCAGGCTGCGTGCCCCCCAGCTGCCCAGATCATCCCTCCTGAGGGGTGGGGGCCACGTGACCCAGCCGGGACATCCACCACCTGGCAGTTACAGGTGGTAGTGTCCCACTGTCTTCCTGAGACAGCCAGGCCCCTGGAGCCCCTTTTCTGTATGGAGATGAGGGCGTCCCTTCACACACAGAACCAGGAGGTGCTCGCGGGCCCCTGACCTACTCAGCAGCTTCGTTGCCAGGGTGTACCCAGCAGCCGGCGGCCTGGTCTGTCCCTTCATCTGTGTGAGTGGCAGTTCCTCTGCCCCACCTGCTCCAGGCAGCCCCGGGTCAAAGCCCTGAGAGGCAGATCCCAGGGGTAGCCCAGGGCAGGGACCCCTGTGGAGTCCACCCTGGACATCTGTCCAGAGGAATGGGAGCAAGAGGCCCAGAAACAGTGCAGAGCACAGAAATATGCCTTCAGCCATGAGTAGCACCTACATTTTCTCTGACCTGGAAAGTAGTTTAACTGAATTTTTTAAAACTTCATTACCATTTTTTAAAACTTGATGATTAAGCAGAAGAAAAGAAATCTGTATTTCTAGCTTAACTTGAAAATTAGAAATCAGGCCAGATGTCTCATCTGGTAAACCCACAGACAGCTTCCCTTTCCAGCGGGCCCACCCCTGCAGCCACCATCCCCACCCAGCTCAGTGGCCTCACGTGACTTGAGTGGCCTCATGGACATCTGAGTGTGCAAGCCATGCTTCAACCACAGGGGACTCCTCACGTGTGCAAAACTGCCCCATCTGGTACTAACAGAAGATGGCAGAACAGTGCTAGACCACGTGGGTCCCGGAGCCCCAAGGTCATCAGAGAGGACATCACGACTACAGGTGTGTCAAAATCCTTGGGGTGGCCTTTCAAATGTCCCTTCTCCATTTCCACCACTTTTTCCTTGCCATTGGGAAGGGAAAAGTGGGGAGGCAAGGAGAGGAGGGGGCGGGGGCCGACCCCTGTGTCACCCGATTTGTCACGATGGGGAGGAAGTCAAGTGAGATCACCCTTAGTTGACCCCAAAACACTTCTGGGAGGAAACCTTGCATATTCCACCAGAAATTTAGTGCCCACGCACCTGAGTCTCCAGTGCAGACCCCTCTCCCCACACACCCCTCACCACCGGCCCTGTACTCACCTCATGGGTTTGAACAGTGCTTGCCCGTAATTCTGCAACGTCATGATGAGTTTCAGCTGTGTGCCCCCCGACTTCATGGCTGCAGGGAGGGAAAACAGCAGGTCACATGCTGCCCTCAGACCCCCTCTTCCGTGAGTGAGGCCAGCTCCCAACTCTGACCCCACAGCCAGGCCTGGGCGCCTGAATGTGCTGAGGCCCCACCTGGGAGGCTTGGGTCTCCTGCAGTGACACTGGTACACACTCCCTCCTGATACTGGGGCCTGGGCACTGGGAGCAGAGCCTCTCAGACACTCTGAGCCACACAAAGGGACTGGCTCCAGAGGGGACGGCCCAGTGTCTGCACCCTCCAGTTGGGCCCTCCCTGGACACAGCATGGGCACACACGTGTGCCCACACCACTGGTTGCCCAGTCTGACTTCCTGGGGTTCTAGAGGAAGCCTGAACAGGGTCAGTCTGAGGAGGCTCTGAAAACCCCTTGGCTGGGAGCACCTCCCTCCCCCAGAACAAGGCTTCCAGGGGGTTCACAGGGGCCCTGTGGGGTGGAAGCCTCCAGAGGCTCTGCTCTGGCCTCTCACAGCCTCACCAGCTCAGAAGGTCAAAGGATTCCCCCAGATACCTTCTCTTTCCTGACTTTCCTTTATGCTGGTGGAGCAGAAGGAGGGAAAATATGTGGGACTTTCCCACAGTGGTTGGAGTGCCAGTAGCCCCAGGAGTTGGGTGGCTGGCTATCATCCACGCAGCAAGGGCCCCAGGCCACGTGAGACAGGACACGGGCCTTGCCCAGTGCTCACAAAGTCCTCCTGCTTCCGCACCGGCTGGCTGTGCTAATGTCATAGGCGTGAACAGGAGGGTGGCAGGGTGCCCCCAGGGAAGTCCATGTTCAACGGGTGGGGCGAACTGAAAACTAAACACCCGGAGACCTCTGCTGCCTCACAAGGGCCCTGGGGCTCTGCTTCTCGAAGGCCTCTCAGGGAGGTGGCATGTATGTAGGCCACTGTCGCCCAGGGGCAGTCACTGGCCCTGAATGCTGGGGGCAGCAGAGAAAGCCCACCTGCAGCGCTGGGCCCTCAGGGTGGGGGTCCGGGGGCTGGGGGCCTGGGCTTGCGCACAGATCTCAGAGGGGTCCTGCCGGCAGGGAGGGCATGGCTGGCACTGGGCAGCAGAGTGCTAGATGCTGCACCTGTGCACAGGGACTGGCTCGGGGATGGAGGGTAGAAGCCAGGGTAAGGAGGCTGTGGCAACTGCAGGAAATGAGAACAGAGGTGCGGAAAATGGGAAAATTCAAGAAATCAAAAGGAACCACCTGGTGGAGTTAGTGTGGGGTGTGGAGGAGAGGAATGCAGCATGCCCCTTGGCTTCCAGCAGGAGCTGCTGGGTGCCAGAGGAGGAGCCAGCCTGGAGGCGAAGATCCAGGTGGGTGAGGGTGTGATGATGCAGGGGCCCCAGGCCCTGGGGAGGCCCAGGTGAGGGTGCCTGTGATCTAGACACAGCACTGGGTGCAAAGGACTGTCCACAGAGGCGAGTAAAGGCCGTGGATGGGGTCACCTGGGGCAGAGCAGTAGCCAAGGGCCCAGGACCAAGGCCGGGGACACGTGGGTATTTCAGATCCAGGGAGTGGGAAGGAGCCACAGTGAGGAGGGACCGATGAGCCCGTGGGAATGGTCCGGCGGAGGGGAGCAGGGGACGTCGCACGCTGCAAGGCTTGGGGGGCAGTCCAGAGGCTGCCCTGCTTCCAGTGGCTGTCTACGAGGAGTCTTCCCTGCCTCTCAGGCCCTTCTGCTCGGTGGAGCCTGGGATGCCCGCCCAGCACCCTTCATGCAGTCATAGCAAGGCGCAAGACAAATGAGGGAAGCATCTTAGTTGACCAGTCAGCGCCTCAGGCTCCTGGGGTAATGTGGGGGTGAGAACGTGGGGGGCAACACTTGCAAAGCACCCGGAACAGTCTATGCACAGTGAGTTCAGAGCCACAGACCATTGAGAGGCACAAGGAATGCTCCAAGTTCTATGTGCCCAGAGCGTTTTTGGGGGCCTGGTGGCCTCTGTGAATGCCATGGCCCAGACCCTTTCTCCTGGGTCCCAGCCCGGCCACCTGCCAGTTCCTCCTGAGAAGCACCTGCTCCAATTGCCACCCAGGCACCAGGGGTGAGCCGGTGTGATCTGTGGGCAGCCGGTGAAGCTGTCCCAGCCTACACCCTCCTCAGGGAAACAGAGCCAGCAACAAATTCCACTTCCCTCGAACACACCAGGAATAACTGAAAATGTCTGGCCTGGCGCTGTAATCCCATGACAGGATCCCAGCTAGCCCTCAACACGGCACAAAAGAATTCTGGAGGACAGCAACTGCTCACAGTTTTATTATTAAGCAAAGAGCATATGAAGCATTCACTTGCCAAAAACTGCTTTTTTTGGAAAGGTGTGTGCTGAAGTGCCTGGGCAAATCTGGACGCAGTTGGCCAGTGAAGCTCAGGGCCCATTTCCCAAGAATCGAACTGCAGGTTATCTCAATTTCCTTTTTTCCCCTTTGTGCTCTCTAAATTTCTACAATGAATTTTATTATGTTTTTAATAAGATGAAAACCAGAAGTGATTATTTAAAAAATTAGTGGCCCAGTGGAAACCCCATTTGATGTCCCCATTTCCATTTACTAACTGGGGTCACTGGATTTCATTATTCCTTCCTGGGCCAGTCAGGGGCAGCTCATCAGTAATTTGCAAGGTGTGTAATCCTGTTTTTCTAAATAACAAAGTATTATGCAAATCTGGTTGGCTTAATCATTCTTGTTCTGGAAGCAAGTCCTGTGTGCACTGCTGTCCCCCTGCATTCCACTCCACTGCCAGTGCCTCTCCACAGAGCTGATCAATACTTAGAAATGAAAGGGCATTAGTATCTCCAGTGACTAAGGACTCCAGAAACCCCCGATTCTTGCTGACTGCCCTGGACACTGTCTTTCTCGCGGCTGGGGGCCTGTGCCTCCTCTCCGCCTAGCCCAGCATTCACTTACCCAGCTGAAAGACATTTGAGATTCTGCTCTAAAATCAGGTACAGTCTCCCTGCAAAACCCCCCCCACCACACACACACACTGCCGCCAGTCCTGGCAAAGGCCGAGGGTGTTCCCCTGGGGTGGGGAAGAGGCAAACCCACCCTCGAGCCTGTGCCCCCAGTGGACGGCCCACTCTGCTGCTGCAGAATGGGCCCCAGGAGGCAGTCAAGGCCCAGGACACAGACCTGGCCTTGGGAAGGAAGGTACTTCTCCCTGAAGACAGACTGAGGGTTGTGACTCTGGGAATCTGGCCCTGGCACTTGGGGGAAAAGTGTCCTGGGACAGCAAACTCAAGAGGAGGAGCCCAGGTGTGCAGGTAAAGATGCATAGGCAGGTGGACGTGCCCTCCCCTGGCTGCATTTCATGATTCCCATCAAGCAGGGGTCCACCAGAACCCAGCCAGTTCAGCCCTGGGGAGGGACCCAACAGGTAGTGAGCCCACATGGGTGTAGGGCCAGGCTGAGGCCAGCGTCCTGGCACACCTCCAGGGCCATTCCCCAGAGGACATGCTCACCACAGAGAGCCCCTCATGTCTCCAGCTTCTCTCCAGCTCCGCAGCCCCACCCAGTCTAGACACCATCAAATCACCAGCACACATGGGGTGTCCAGCTGACATCCAAGCTGGCTTCCCCACGCCTCACCACGAGCCACGCACCCTCAGGGTGCTCCCCCGACCCTGCCCACCTGCCTGTCTTGCCTCCCATGGCAGATTATACTGTTCAGACTCGAGCGTCAGCTCAGTGCCCTTCCTGGCACCCTGAAGGGCCATGCCCCCCAACCCTTCATTAATACATGGTATTAATTAGCACTGACTAATGATCATTGATAACCTACACCATTAGTCGTACATGTTAACGTGTGTTAGCAGAGAACCATACATTTCATTACACAATGTTCATCGGTGCAATAAATTCTGTGACCACTTGGACACCAACCACTGGCTTTGCTCAGTGTCTTTCCCCAGGACATAACACAGAGTGGAGGTAACTTAAAATGAGGGCTTCCCCCGAAGGATCCTAAAGATGTAATTTCTTCAGAATTTCCCCAAGGAAGGATCAAGTTAAACCAGAATCAGGGGCAGCCCTGGGAAGAAGGAAAAAGGGGTGCCACCCAGGGGTCCCAGTGCTCCCACACCCAGGGAGGGATAAGAAGTGGGATTGCAGGACCCTGAGTGGGCCCTGAGTCACAGACCTGGAGGTTCACGGGGGTGCGAGGGACCTGGTCCAGGCACGCTGGGGGCAGCAGATGCACAGCACCTGTTTCTCATGGAAGCCAAGGCCAGTCTCCTGTCTCCCTTTTCTAAGAACCCATGACTCATACTTTGATGGGTCATCTCCTGACTTTTAAAAGAATGAATCCTAGTTATTAGAGGCCTGTGGCCATCCAAACACAGCCACATGGGAAGTGCTGCCTGCAGTGCACATCACCACCCATGGCCTGCGGCTGGTCATCTGGGGAGCCTCTGGTTCTTTCTGTGGCCCCGACTATGGCCTGTGAAGGGTCGGAGTAAGCGAGGGCCTTGCCCAAGGATGGTTCCCTTGGGGGAATGCCCCAGGAGCATCTAGGTCAGCTACTCTTCCCCACCCCACCCCATGCACCTAACTCCAGGCAGAGGAGGTCCGACCATGTTCCAGGCCCCTGTGTGCCCACATGGAGTCCCTTATACTCTGCTAGGGCACCAAGGGATGCAGACTCATGGAGAAGGCATGGTATGTCCTCTCTGCCGGCAGTGAACATGGGAACCAGGTACTCTGACGTGAGGGGCTGCAGGGGGATGTGTGGGGCCTGGGTCTTCCTGCCTGACCCCGGGGCCTTGGGGGCCTCCACCTCAGGGCCACAGCTCAAGCTGCAGTCCCCACCCTTGGAATACTTGAGGGTGCCTCCCGCTGGGCTGCTGTTTGCACCACACTCTTCTGTGTTTACTTCACAGGGAAACTGCAGCTCTGCCACTGGTGGGATCCCACACCCCCCAAGCAGGAGCACAGCGGGGCTGGGCCATTCAACCCGGGTGTAGCTGCCATCTGCTCTGGGTCAGCATCTGCATGGGCTTTGTTCTTGACCTTCAACTGAGGTGGGAAGAGAGCAGAGGGTGGCTGCATGGCTTGCCACCTTCGCTGCCTTCACCACCTTTGGGGTGGTCCTCGTCCTTCCTCTGGCACCAAACCTGGGGTCCGGTTAACCAGGCCCTTTTAGTTTTCTTTCTCAGGTTGGCTGAGTGGGACTCTGCAGCCTGGGACCTGAAGTAGCCGTTGCCACCAGTGTGGGGATGGGTGGGGAACTGTGGCCTGTCTGGGGCTGGGCCTGTCTTCCCAAGGCATCTGCCTCTGACTCATTCATTAGACAGCAGCTGCGAGGCACTGGCACTCAGGCAGTTGTCCCCGAGTGCGGCCGCAGCCCCAGCCTTTGCTCCTGGAAGCTCGCTAGCCAATTAGTCCTGGATTCTGGAGGATGCTCGGTGCCCAGGACTCCTGACCTGCAGACTCCTCCTGTGTGCAGGCACCAGCCAGGGCTTCATCTCCATCCAGTGGAGCGATGCTGGAGTGTGTGCTTCAGAGGCCCAAATCCTCTCACACCAGTGTGACTTCTTGTAAGTAATCCCAGGTACAAAGTAGTTAATTGTGCCATTTATTCTTTGCATCCATAATTGTGCACAATAGTGATTTAATTACCACCAGTGCACTAAAGGCACTGCAGGTCTGATTTCAAGCTGAATGGAGGTGGATAATGTCTGGCGCCTCTTTAAAGGTGGGAAAGGGTGGTCACCAAGCAGATAGAAGCTATAAATAAGTCTCCATAGGCCACACACACTGCATGAAGTGAACCGAGTAGTTCTGAATTGAGAGATTTGATGGGGCTGCTCTGGGAGAAAGCCTTGGTAGCCCGTAGGAACGGTTGTCTCTTACAACAGCATCTCTAGGATCATGTGAACAGCAAGGTGAACAACTCCAGCATTGAAGTGACCATGGGGCCGACAACTGGGAGTCACCAAGAAGCTGAGCTGCAGAGGGGATGTGCTGGCCGTGGGCACCTCTCCCTCTTGGAAGCCTGATTTCCACAGTTGGGTTGGGTTGCCAGTGCCTTAGATTTAGACTCTCTTTCAGGCCAAAACGGGGTCACTGTGATGCTCCTGTCTTTCTTTCCTTTCTTTTCATGATCAAGTGGATGGTGTTGCTGAATCTTGACACTCAGGCAGCCTCTGGGCTCCTGCGAGTGGCTGAACCTGGGGTCCCCCTCTGAGCCACAGCAGTGCTCGAGGCAGGGGCAACCAGTAGGAGGCAGCCCCACGGGGGGACTGCAGTCTCCAACCTGCCCAGTCCTCTCTGCCAGGCTGAGGGCCTGGCCAGGGCCCAGCTGGATGTGGGCGGACACCTTCCGGGAAGCCTGGTTGCTCCTAGTGCACCTGAAGGCCCAGGCCTGACACCTGTTGCAGTGCTGGGCTCTGCTGGCAGGTGAGAGGATTTCCTGCTTCCTCAGGAAAGGAGCCTTTTCAAAGACGTGAACACACGGTAGCATCTCCAGGCCCAAGTGTCCGGCTGGGCCCTTCCTGCTGTGGCGTGCCCAGCACTGACTGCCCGGCCTCCAAAGGCTGCCCCGCACAAGGCCCACCAGGCAGGGGCCTTGCGTCTTCCCACTTCCTTCTCTCATTTACTCACAAAGCCCCTCGGCAGCCCTGGAGTAGGTTTCATGTGTCCATGTCTTTCAAGGTCTCCGGGGGCAGAATGCTTAGGATTTGGGAAGTTCCAGATGAGAGGGTAGGCACAGTATGATTCCACACACTGTGTAGCACCCCGAGTGGGTATGGACAGAACCCCTAATCAAGCACATTTCTGTTTCCTCAGGGGCGTGAGTACTTGCCCCAAGCAGGACAACAAGGATTCATAAATCACCTCACTGATTCAGGCTGTGTCCCCATGTAAGCTTGGGCTGGGTCAGGTTTTGCTGTTGAATGAGTCATGTTTGGATTTCAGATTTGGAAGCAGAGATTACAGGGTCTGAGTTAGAACCATCGTATGTCCCCTGTGAGAATCTTGAAGCACTGGGGAGGTTAGTCACTCTGGGGGCTATCCTGTGTGGGTGGTGGCCCTGGGCCCATCTGTCAACCTCCCAGCACTTATCTGGGATGACCAGCTGTGCTCTGACTAGGAGCAGGCTTGGTGACACCAGCCAGGCCATCATAGTCCAGGAGGTGGGGGAGACCAGCTCGGACAGCCCATAACTGGCAGACAGGGCTCAGCCCAGACCAGAACCCTGGGGTGGGAAGTTGGCCACAGGCTCTGGACCCACACTGTGATGTAAGGCAGTCTGGGCACCACTGCCCATGGTAGTCAGACCAGAGTGGGTGGAGGGGGCCTCAAGTCCAGGGCCCTGGGGGAAGGGAGAGAGGCAGATGCTGAGGTAGGCAAAGCTGCCTATGAGCCACAGAGGGCCCATCTGCTCCCTGGAGCTGTGCCCTGAGCTCCTGGGCTCTACACAGTGTGTGTACAGGTTCCCAGTGAGTGCTGGCAGGCCATCTGCTTCCTGAGGGATGTGGTAAACCTGGCCAGTGTTGGAACCCTCCATCCTCCACCTTCCCCCAACCCTGCATTTGCACTTGAGGGACTGGCCATAAAGCGCACGTTCTGAACACTAATACTTCACAAACTGGTTCACATTCACCACCTTATTAGAAAAAGATGCAATGCTCCTGGGTGTGCATAAGCCCATTTGACAGATGGAGAAACTGAGGTGGAGAGATGTTCAGGCGGAGGGCAGCAGAGTTGCACATTCAATGGGGACACTGAATTTCCCTTAAAATCCCTTCTGATTTTAAAACGTTGTTCTTGGTTTCCAGAAAGCTCTGGCTTCTTGGCCCTTTCTAGGATGAAAGCCTATGCTTCATTTAAGACCTGCGTCAGATCCCTTTTCTTTCAGATGTAGTTTCAAGACTTTAAATGCTCCAAGACTTACCTGCATGGGGCTAAAGCATTTGTGATTCATCAGTCTGTCCTCCTGGAACTCCCAGGTCACCTTGTTCAGGTTGGATTCATCCTCCACTCTCCACACCCAGAAGGGGGCTCTGAAGAGCTTACTGAATGGTGAACAGTGGTCAATGCCCTGGATACGTCTTTAACGGCCCCTCTGCTCTCAGCAGTGAAAGGGATGCCCAGCTGTGGCTGTCTATGGGAAATCCCTTTGTGCTCACAGACTGTGCCCAGCACAGCTGAAGCCCCTGCAGGCTGGCCAGGGGCAGGGGAGCTGAGCTTCTCCTGGAGAGGGTTGGGCTGGGGCTGGAGCCAGGCTTGGTGTGCAGTGAGCAAGGACAGAAGGCCACAGCTGGTTCTGGCCAGTTCCCTGTCACTAGGGGAACAAGCACAGCCAGGGAAAAGTTGCAGGTCCTGTCTCTATGGCAGGTGAGCGCCCAGCAAATAGCTCAGTACTGGGGGAAGAGCCAAAAATAGGCTCTTAAGAACTCCAGAAAGCCCAGAACTTGCCAGCCCCATAGGTAACACCTAACTCCCCCAGTCAGCAGCTCCCCAGTCAGCAGCTGGACAGAACTCCAGTTACCAGCATGCTTTCAGCATCAGGATTACTTGTGAGACCCCAGGAAGATTGTGCCTGGAACTGCCTGCTCCATAACACAGCCCACAGACCTGAACGCACATCCCCCAGGGCCCCTCGACCCCACCCCATGTGCATCCAGGCCAGCTCCCTGCAAAGCCCGGGAACTGTTCTTCCCATCCCAGGGCCTCAGCCCATCCCCCACTGTCTCTCTGAGCTTCGGGTGACTAATGGGAACCTTCACAGACAGCGGCCCACAGGCCTGACCACAGCACCAACCCTCCATGCTCAGAAACTGCCGCTGACACTTCTCTGAAGTCAGAAATGGGATGCCCTTTTTCATCTGATGCAGCAGATCCCAAAGACTCAGAGATGCCGCCTCCAAACTACTTAGTGCATGGGCCTCCACCCTGGACAGAGTTGGGTCCTGGTCACTCCCTTCCCCACCAGATTGCAGGAGCACCTAGCTGAGCTCTGACGCGGAGCTGACTGACAACCTCACGAAGTCCTGAGTGACAAGATGCATCCCCATGGTGCTCAGGGAGGGCCACAGCCACCAGGGTTGCCCCTTCCTACCTGTGGAAACGCTATGCTCTAGAACACGCCCCTCCCGAGGATCTGCTCAGGTGGGCGAGAGGCACGTAACAGAAGGGGTGGTGTGGCATCTCTCATGAGTCCTCCTGCAAGAGCAGGTCCCCCACCTGGAAGGCCCCCAGGCACATGGCACCAGGAGCTGTCCCAGCAGGGAGCGAAAGCATCCCAGCTCTCCTGCCAAGGACAGCCAGCCTGAGCAGCCCAGCCCCAGGAAGAGGCACTTACCGACACTGGTTATCCTGTGCTCACCGAGGTCCCGCAGCAGGGCCTCGATGGCTGGGCTGCGCCTAGAGTACAGCTCGTACCGGTTGATGCCAATGTGAAACTTGAGCCAGTTGGGATAGAAGTCCACTGCCACCTCCCCGGTGGGTAAGAATTCTCCGCCTTCAGCACCTTGTGGCCTAAAGGAGTGAAGGTGTCTCAGAGTCAGAAGGGGGACAAGGTCTGCAGGAAGGGAGAGCTGGCGCCGATGCCAAGCTTTTGACTGGGGGTCCATACTAGTGCTGATTTACCCAAAGGTGCCTCTGCTCAAACTTCCCTGTAGCTGTTGCTCTGCTAACTAATAACATATCCAGAGGCCAGGGATATCTTCCTAACCACAGGGAGACTCCACGGACAGCTGTGACTAACAAGACCAAACCCAGCATTAGCAGGAGGCCCCTCCATGTCACCTCGGGGCCACCAAGCATGAAATCAGCCTGGGTATGAGGGGCTATCAATACTTCCTGGGGGTCAGAGCCCATCTTTGACCACAGACTGTGCAAATTGCTCCCATGCCCAGTCTGTTAGAAACCTTCCCTGGGCACTCTGCTTTGGTTCCCACAGCCAGGGGTAGGAATGATGCAAGAATCTAAATTTGATTTTAATGAAAGCAGTCTTTGGTGAGGAGAGAGGAGGGGGCAGGCACTCACTGCAGATGGGACCCCAAAATGAGGACCAGCTGCCCATCTGGCTGTCCTTACATCCCTGGGGTGAAGGGGCCAGAGTGGAGGACAGACCCTGTTTGCTGCTGGGCTGGAGGGAACCGTGGAGGTCGTCTCAGCTCTGATTCACATGCAAATGAGGCCCTTTCCTCTGCACGTGAGCTGCACCACTGACCCCCTGGCTCTGGGCTCTGTGCATCCAGTGAAAAGCCCCAGCCCAGGCCACCACTCCGATTCTCAAGTATCTGAGCATTTCCTTGAACCTGACCAGCAGACCTTGGTGTGTTTAGACAGAAAGCACTGGGCCTGGTCAGATTTCAGGGGAGAAAGGATTTTTATAACATGGTTTGGAGACCTGGTCTTTCCCCTCTGTTGCTGCGGTAACCTTGCAGGTGGCTGTTTATTCTGGCTTTGCGCTAGTTAATGTATCACCATCCGGGTTGCAGCATCTGCTTATTTTGGTCCGTGTGGCTGAGGAGACCTAGGGAGAAGGTTAGGCCAGGACCATTTAAAGAGATGTTCCCAGGGTGCTCCTCACCTCCGTGAGGCCATCACCCCTTGCTACCCCCACTATTCCCAGGTGGCTGCTGTAGGCACCCAGGCTGGGCAAGCCCCTCTGTTGTGTCTCTTTGGGGCCCCTCTGCTAGTTTGTTTTCAGTAACGGGTTTACTAGGCTCACTGGGCTTCTCCAGACCCCTGACATGTCCTCCAGAGCCATGTCGCCAAGTGTCTGCAGGCCTGCAGCCAGCAGCTCCCCAGGAACAGATGAGGGGCAGGATCCCATTCCCTCTCTCCAGCCAACAGGCCCATTCGGGGCCAGATGCCAGTTTCTCAAGTCAGGGACCAGGGCCTTGTTTCTGTAAATGCAGCACTGACCCGCCCCCAGCTCCGGGCTGCCCAGTCTGCCTCCCAGGCCAGCTGCACAGAGAACAGCTTCCAACCAGCCAGCGGCTCTTCACAAGGAGCCAGTCATTCTGGAGACAAAGGCAGTGCCCCAGGCATGCTGCCCCGCCTCAAGAGGCGCAGCTCCCAGGGCCTCAGCCACAGACGCCCTCTTCACACAGGCCTTGGATGTGTGAGGGAGATTTCTGGGAAGGGTACTTGGGCTGGTCTCTATTCTCCAAGGGGCGCATGGCTGCTTTAGGGGCCAGGAATCGCCAGCACCCAGCCTGGGGGCCTTCCCACCCACTCACCAGTCTGGGTTCTCCGCAGCGGCCTTGGGGTTGAACCTGATGTCGCTGTTCACATTGAAGAGGACGTCGTCCTCCGTTAGCGGCGGGGTGGGAAGCTGGTAGAGTGGGTGTTCAAACAGCCTGGCCAGGAGGGAGCCATCCCGGCTTGGGCCAGAGGGCGGCACCGACCGCCAGGAGCCGGGGTCTCGGAGAAGCGGCCGGTGCGCTGGGTCGCGAAGTCGCGGCGCGCGGGGATCCTGCCCCCGCACGGCACGCTCGGCCAGTTCAGCTGCGGGCGGCAGTTTCTCCAGCGAGTGGGATGTAAGGTTGGAGGAAGGGTCTGAGCTGAAGTCCTGTAGGATGCGTAGCGTGTGTTTGTTGGGCCAGCCGGGTGCCGCCGCCCCGGTTGCGGGCTGGGCGCACGAGCAACCCGGCTCCCCCGCGGGCCGCGCGGCGCTCCTCTCCAGCTTGGGCAGCAGGTCCAGCACAACGTGCAGCGCGCAGGCCAGCAGGAACGCCATCAGAATGAGCACGCGGAACCTGCGCACCGGGATCGCCTTCATGGCCGCGCGGGCGGGGCGGTCTGCGACTCCGGGCTCCTCCCGGGGCGCGCTCCGTGCGTGGCCCGCTAGTCGTAGCTTGGTACGAACGCGGTGCCTTGGCGCGGGTCAAGGTCCGTCCGGCGTAGGGCAGCTACAAGCTCCGGGACTGTCCCCGGTCCTGCACCACGTGTAGGGTGCCTACCGCCAAAGCCCCCGCTCGCCGGGCCATCTCGGGCCCGTGCCCTCTCGTCTCTCCGGAGCCGCCCAACCCAGCGGCCCTCGTCCGTGGAGCTGGGGACGCTGCTGAATGAAGCTCCGCGCACGCAGCGGCCTGCTGGGGTCAACGGGGCCGCGGCTGCGCTCATCAGGCGCGCAGGGACTCTAGGCTGCGGCCCATCCTGGCCGGGCGCGGCGGCCTGGGGGTAGTGGAGGTGACGGAGCGGCGCAGTCCTACCCGCGGCAAGGCGCAGTCCCCTCCTCGGCTCCGTGGGCCGCTCTAGGCGCCGGGCGGGCCGGGCGGAGGAGGGGCGCGACCTTGGGGCAGGTCTCGGCTCTCTCACGCTGCGGCCCGGAGCTGGGGACGTGGAGGGACTTGGGCGCGGGGCTGCGGGAACTGAGGAGGGGGCGCACACGGGGCGGCCGGCGAGGCTCCCGGGCAGGTGCAGCGGCCTTCCCCGGAGCACTGCACAGGCAGCGCCGAGCCTCCCGGCCTCAGCGCCCCGGGCCGGCAGATATCCGAGCGCCGCGGAGCCGCCCCCCGCGTTAGCGCCCACAGATTGGCGGAGCCGCAGCCCCGCGAGTCACTGCCGGCCCCGCCGACTCCACTCCTTTCTCCTCCCCTCGGCCGCGCCCCGCGATGCCTCTGCAGCTCCGGGCCCGCGAAGGAAAGGGCGCCTTCTTCCCGTTGTTTGCCGAGAGAAGACGGACAGACCCAGCGAGGAGGGCCGGAGGGCGCGGGTCCCCCGCGAGAGAGGGCGGCGCGGCTCCGCGGGAGATTCTGCGAGGGTCGCTCCGGGCAAGACGCCGCTCCCAGAACCTCCGCCCGCCCTGCTGGCCGCCGCCAGCTGCAGCCTCCCGGCTCCTCCCAGATGAGCGAGGGCCAGACCTAGGCCAAGTCCCTCCCCGGAACCGCTGGGCGTCTGCGCCGCCCGAGGAGTTCCCCGCGGGGCGGCGACCTTGTGCCCCACGCACCCGCCTCGGCCGGGCCCGGCTCGCTAGGGGGAGCGGAAGGGGCGGTGGGGCTGCCGCGGGACAGTACTGGAGCAGCGCGGTATTTGGACCAAATGCGGAGGAGACGCCAGAACTCGGTTGTGGGCCCCACCCCACCCCAAAGGGACCACGCCTGCGCCTTAACTCTACAGGCGCCGGCGCCCTGGGCTAGGATTCGCTGGGCACTGGTGTCTGGGAGGCGCACCCGCTCGCTTCGGGCGTGGCAGTGTGTGAGGGCTGGTGTCCTTTTGCTTCTCCAGATGGGCAGAATTGGCCATCCATACCCAGGATCGCCGTTTTCTAAACGTGGCGTCTTTTGGACCCACACAGCTTCTGGACCCCAGCCCCCAAGAGAGTATTAACTTGAATGTCAGCCTAAAGTCGGAGAAGGGAAGGTATAAGGTATCCCTTCTCTCCCAAACGCTCCCCACGGAGCAGACAGGTTCTCTGCCTCTGGCATGTGGATGAAGAGCCACAGCTTCTTCAGCTGTCTGGGGGGATGCAGTCTTGGGGTGCCCCTTCTTCCTGTCCACCCAGTGTTGCCCAGCATCACTGCCTTCTCTGGACCTTGGTTTCTCCTGTATGATGAACTCAGGGCACATTATCCCTGAGATTCACTGTTCAGTCTTGGTGCCTGGCATTTAGTAGGCACCTATTGGATGCTTGCCGAGTGAAGGAGGAAGTCCCAGCCCAGTTGCTCAGTGATGTCACTGTTTTTGAGGCCCTGTGGAGTGAGAGAAGGGTGGGTTCAGCCCTCCTGGAGCTGGAGTGGAGGTCAGGAGACCAGAGGGCCAAGATGGGGTCAACCCAGAGTGAGCACTTGGAAGGAGTTTCTTACTGTGGAGAGGAGCCCCTTTCTCCTTCCCTCCCTCTAGTAATGACAGCACCGCTTGGGTGCAGAAGAGGTAACTTTGCACAGGGTCACCCAGAGAGGCTGAGGGGATAAGCCCCAGCTGAGATGGAGGCTGAGAAGCAAGCCCCACCCACCTGGGGTCGGGGAGCAAGAACCAGAGCCTTAGGGTACCAAGGGGCTTAGCGGAGATGCAGCCCCACATGTGTCTCCCCTGGCCTTGGGGTTTTCCAGCCTCCAGCCCCCACCTACAGCCAGTGCTCTCAGGGTAGACACAGGGTGGTCTGATCCCATAAGCCATGGATATCATGTGAGTGTGGGGTCCCTGGGCACTCAGTCTTGGGGGATCTGAGATGTTATGTAGACTTCCACTCACCAGTGGATGGCCCCTTGCATAGTTCTAGATTCATCTCAATGGTCACCTCAGAGAGCTCCTCCTGAGTTCCCTGTCTGCCCATCACTGTCTGAGGATGTCTGTTCTAGGATTTGGTTTGTCTCCCCTAAAAGGCTTGTACTTCACTAAGATTGGGGAGTCGGGCAAGTCCTTGTTAGCAGCTTGGCCCCGGGGCTGGGACCACATGCTACCAGCCAACCTGGGGTCAGGAGTCAGCAGGCACAAAAAGGCCTTTGAAAACAGAACACGCCCTCAAGAGGACAGAGTATGAAAACCAGTGGCCTGCTCTTCTGCCTGGCTCCTTTATGCTTTGCTCTGAGGAGCTGGTTGATTTGAGTCACTTGATTCATCCATGAAAGCCACACAAAACACATTTCACACACATAGGCACACACAGAAACCGATGCACAGCACCAGGAGCTCCCTTAAGTCTCCATCTTACTGTTCCTGGGGAGAGGCCAGCCTGGGCTGCTGTGGGAAGGTCACTGGGAGGTCAGCATCCTGCCTCACTGGGGCTGGAGCTCCAATGTAAAATATGTCTGGTGATGACAAGAATTATATAGAAAAATGAAATTGCTGCGGCAGAGAGGAACAGGATATTCTGGGTGAGGGGCTGTGATGTGGGGGGTCAGGGAGGGCCCCTGGAAAGTGACATTTGACCAGAAACTTGCCCGTGAGGGAATGAGCAAGGTCTCCGGGGCAGGGGAACTGAAAGGGGGGCTTGAGGTTGGAGTTGAGTGGGAAGGTGGTGGTGGGGAGCGGGGCCCTAGTGAGGCCTGCAGCCAGTGGGGACTGGGGACTGAGAGGGTGTGCCGGCACAGGGGCGTAGGAGGTGGTGGCTCCAGCCTGGATGAGGCAGGCTTTCCATGCCCCAGGCTCAGAAATGTTCTGCAGGTGGAATAAGGGATCACCCTGGGGCCCAGGGCAGCCCCTGGGGGTTCCAGAGACGAGCAGATTTGGGTGCTGGGAATCAGGAATTTGATTTTGGATCGTGAGTTTCCTGTGTACACATGGGATGTCCATATATGCATGGGATGGTGGGTTGGCAGGGCCAGGAGAGAATGGGTGGAGGAGGGAAGAGCTGGGTCCCGGACCTCCACGCCAAAGCCGAGTGTGTGACCAGACAGAGAAGCAGAGAAGGGGCACGTGAGCCAGGAGGTCAAGGCCGTGCTGGTCTTCCCAGTATGACAAGGAGCACATTGCCTGGTGCCTCCTGGAGGCTGAGTTGGGGCTCAAGCGTGGCCATGTGAGGTCATTGGTGGTCTAACTGGACAGTCCTGGACCAGCAGGGGTGGAAGCCGCACGAGGAGTCCTGAGAACAGCAGAGGGCAGAGGAGATGAGAGGAGATGCATCTTTCGAGGAGTTTTGTGTGAAAGGGAGTGGAGAGATGGGGGTGGTGGTGGCTGAGGGCAGGAGGCCAACCCAGGTAAAGCACATATCCTCAGGAGGTAAGCCTTGTGCCCATAGCCTCCCCTGTGTGTGCCAGGGAGCCACTGGTCATCTTTCTTGTTTATAGGCACCCACAGAGGCAGAGACGGAGCAGAGCAGACTTTGTGGAAGATGAATGAGACCCACATGCACCACACTGCTGGGGGATGTGAGGGCAGTGCAGAAGGACCTCACTATGGTCATCTGTGTTTGGGGGCACAGGGTGGGAAGGAGGGAGGCTGTCCTGGGAGCTGGGGCTTCTTCTGCATTTCCTGCCCAAATGTCTGGGAACTTTCCAGGAAGGCCCAGGAGGTAGGCTGGGAGGCACTGACCCACCAGCTCAGGTCCTGGCACCCACACCCCTTGGTTACTCATCCAAGACCCGCCAGGGAGGCTGTAGGGCTGTTTACCGCAGGCCAGCCTGGCCACAGGCTATTCTGGGAGCTGGGAGTGGAGGTGGCTGGGCTGGGGCAAGGACTACTCTGGGAGCAGGGGAGGGGCGCCTGTTCTTCACTGGGCATCTGTGTAACCCGGCGTCATGGGGTGTGTGGATTTAACCCTTGTCTGGTGGAACCACAGAACTAGCAATGATTCCTGCACTCCCTGCCTGCCTGGCACTCAGCTAGCATGGGGTTAGTGGGGTAATGAGCCTGGGCTAGTGGGATTACATGGGGAGGGGTGAGGCCTCCACGGAACCAGCATCCTCTCTGCCGGGTTTGTGGGACTCCAGGGGACAGCTGGAGGCGGTGTTCTCTGGACAGACCTGGCCTCATTTGTCCAGCAGTGACACCGAATGGCCAGCCCATCCTCCCCTGGACATGTGCCCCCTCAGTGGCTGCACACCCACAGCCTGAGGGCTCCTTTGTTCTAATTTAAACTGATAGGTCAAGAAGTCAAAAAATGAGCGAAGAAAACAATTAAAAAGCTTGATTTTCTTGTATATATTTTGTATTGTTCAAAATCACGAGTTAGATTATTTTCTATCACACGTGGAATAGCCACAAAAAGCTGTCTAGAGACCAAAAGGAAAATGTCAAGAAATTCCAAAGGCAGACAATCTGCAGTCTGTTCACACACATGTCTACAGATACATGTGCACATATAATTTACAGCCTGTTCATGGAAAACAATGACATTTAGCAAGACAAAAGCTAAGCTTTAAAAGTATTTCTACCTAGAAATTAATACCACAGATAAAAGCACACTTAG